AAAATGAGCACGCTAAGCAAGAGGTAATGAGTAAATTTGATTTTTAAGTCCTAGCTCAGATTTTTTTAGGCATAACTTCCATAATCTTCAGTAAAAAATTTACAGCAAGAAGCAGCAGCAGACTGGGGATTTGCAGAGGCTTGATACACTAATAACAAAGCTTGAAAGAAGAAATTAATCTCAGGGTTAACTTTATTGACTTCAGTTTCCTCAGTGGCTGAAAGTAGTAAAGCAGCTGTTCGAAAGAGGTTGCCTCCCAAGCAGGCTACATATCACAGTTTTGAAAGGTAAAGAGCATTGTTTTTTCCTAGATAGGTATTGTACAGATTTGGGTCATGCAATTTTTCAAGTACTCTAGCATAGGAATTCTTCCAAACTCAAAACGTTTCCTGAGGTCCTGCAGGAAAAGAGCCCTCTCCAGCTCCAGTGAGGTCCATGGGACTGTCTCCACTGAAAGCAAAGGAGGCAGGCTCAAGCTCTAAAACCACCTCATTAATAGCAATATTTTATTCTGCCTGCAAAGAGAAACAGTACTTTTTACATATCTGCTGATATACCATCCTACATCAATGGCTTTGAGACGTTGTGGTGATATATGTATTTGCAGCTTAACATAAATTTTCAATAGTACAAGACATATCTTCAGTAGCTGAAAGAAACAAAAATTGAAATGATCACCCTTTCAGACGTCAGGTATGAAATGGGAACTGGTCTGTAACGTCCCTTAGTCTCTTGGGGTAATAACACATATCGTTCCACATGCAGCTGGGATACTTCAAGCACAGATCTACATGGACATAGAGTTATAAAAAAACCGACGCAAGTAGGCTATCTCTGTAAGACTTCTGATGCTTTCAGCAATGGGTAGTGATTTGCTAATATATAATTTTTTTAAGATACTGCTACTACAAAATACGTTCACAGTTTATGAAAATACGATGAAACAGTTCTCCGTCTGCTTTTGTTTCTAATGACTGCAGTTGGAATTTTACAGTCTATTTCAAAACAAACAGGATCTCGTCCAAAAATGAGAAATATAGTTCCACTGCAAAAAAAATGCACTTGTCACCACCAAAGTATTTACTCTGACAATACTAATATGAAAACATCACAGAAAAAAAAAAAATTATCGGCGGCATACAAATTTTTGAAAGAGAACTAGCGCTGAATAATTTAATTCCACCCAAGGACAGATTCAGCTTACTTAATGTCTGCTTGCTTGGCTAACTTCTGCTTTAAGTTATTGCACTCAAATATTAAATTATTTCTTTTTAAAAAAACAGGTGACAACATCTACAATATACATGGAATACGCAGCATTACTATCTGTGCCACGCCAACCCTAAACGTAGATGTAGATGTCAGTAATATACATAATGATGGTGAACTATTAAAAAAATTGCTTCCAAAATGCAGTGCTATTTTAACTAATAATGTAACTCCTCTTTTCTTGTTGACATTTTACCTCCATCTAAATGACACCCTCCACAAGGGTATAAAAAAAATGAAGACATAATATTGTCAGTTTGTGTTTTGTCAGTTCTCTCCTGATTTTCTTTATTTTATGTAGCTATGTTTTCAATCAGGCTGTTACGCATCGGCTTAATTTTGAGCTCCTCAGTAGCTGCCTGCAAACCAAGGCAGAGAGGCAGAGCGTGTGCAGGGTGGAGCCCTCCGCTCATGACCGTGACCAGAAGCAGACGCTGGAAGACCTGCAGTCCCACGTCACCAGAGGCACCGACAGAGGAGCGACCGAAGGAAGGCACGAACGCCGGGTATCACGAACGCGCCGCTACAGCGAAAGGCGGGAGGCAGTTGCCAACACCAGCTACTGATGAGCTACCGACAACACGCATCATGGTAGCTCTACATCCAGGTTGCTAAGTTCCACTAAGTCATGCCGATAGTTTTACTCCCAGATGTAAGAGCTGTGGTAAAAACGCAGGATTTTCTGTCTCTTTGTTTATTCTAGCGATTTCCAGATTTAGTCCGTGGCGCACTGGTAGTCCACGGGGTCACGGCAAACAGTCTGCCGGTCATTCACAGACCCATAGCAAAAAACACTTCATTTCCGTCAGTCAAAAGGTCAATGAGAAAGGTGCACAACTGTCAGAACCAAGTTTTGAGGGTTGGTGGTGGCCTGCAGAGCCAAAATATATTGGAACCGTTGGCTTAATCCTACTTTTTTCCCCAAGAAAACTGTGATCCCTGGCAGATACATAGAACTTCTTTACTGGTACGCCAGTCTATATTCGGCTGCATATTCATCTCTCTCGTAAGACTCGAACAAGCAACCTAATTTGTTAATCTTCATTGCTTTTATCAGAACAAAACCAAATCTCTTTGCTAATGATATGTTTGCTTTTGAACTTTTATTGATCTTGCCTGCTATGTCTAATTACAGACCCAATCCTGTGCACTCGGCAGTGGACTTCAGAGGAGTTTTGCCTCTGTACAGCCAGCTACGCATTTACTACTGATCATGCGACAGATATTTAGGATACTCAAACTAGAAACTTCAGCAG